CCGGGGTTTGCCCTGCGGCCGCCACGGCTCGTCGTGCAGGCTGGTTTTTCTTGGGGTAACTCACACCCCCCGGGTAAAGACCACATCTTCTTCTCCTCCTTCTATGAGATAGGTTGATGCCATCACTTCCAAAAACATCGAGTGACGGCACCTGGCTGCAGATGGGACAGCCTGTGCCTGCGAGAGTAAGGGAGGTGCCTCAGTTTAGTTTATATTTGACCCATGTAGGAAAACACAAAGAAAAAATCCTTATTTTTTTTACTTTCTTCCTGTAAGGCACCACACACCCGGTTATTGACGGGGTAATTATACACCAGATGAGTGTTTGTTTATAAAAGAAGTGTGATTCACGGCTGCCGGGCCTGCCGCGGGAGCTGGAAAGGGTTAACAGCCTAAAATTATATCGGTCCAACCGGAGAACCATAAACAGGAAGTTCTCCAGAAAAATTTAAATTTAAACCTGGTGACTCAGGTTGGCTTGTGCTCCCTGAGCCGCTCAGGAGGTACGCACGGGTTGCAGCCCCGGTTTATTACCGGTGGCTAATTACACTGTTGGTTGGAAAACAGCGGCAAAGATGGGCAGAAGCGAGGCCGGGAGGGATCAGGTTGTCGGATAATCTTGGTTTTGCTTCGTCCGCGTGGATGGCACGTCGCTTCGTCGCAAGCACTTTCTCCCATCGCGTGGCATTGCTCATAGCTGGGTTTTTACAGCACGTTACGCCAATAAAAATGTTTTCTGGGGTTCCAGTTGTCCGATCGAGCAGTGTTACAGCAGTGCCGGTGCGGGGGAACTTGTAAGTAAAGCTGATGAGAAACAAACGGAGAGCCAGCCACGCGTTTGCTGCCCAGCAGTGAGAAAAGCCAGCTTGGGAGGCAGCGTGAGCGGCGGCCAAGCCCGAGTCCTAAAATGCATGTTATTAGCTTAGACTTTGGGTAGCAGTGTGAGAACTTGGACTGGTCCAAGAGGGGACTCGGGCACCTTCCCAAGAAGCGCCTGGTGCGGATTTGGGGTGGGGTGCCGATGCCGCTGAGCCGTAGGCATGCTCTAGGTGAGGCATCTCTGGGAAGGTACTTGCGTTTCATTATGGGACCAATTTTTTCCCTTTAGTTAAAGCAGTGTGATGCAGAAAACATTAGGAGATTTTGGATGAGATGCTTTAGCCAAGCAGCACCTCTTTAACTTAATTAAATACATTGAAAACAGCAGTTGAATTCCTGGATTTTTATTATACTGATAGGTGGAAGAAATCCAATTATTTTCAGGACGGCCTACATGGCTATAACCATCTGACCCAGCCACCCTTGCATGTGTTGTGTAATTTATTTTGAGTACTCTTCACCTTTGAGCTAGCTCACGTGGGGAAAATCATTCAGGTAACCCAGATTTTACTAGCAACCATATTAAAGATTTTAAGAATGAAGGCTGTTCTGCTGGCAGGTGAGCTGCTCCTACAGCTGTTGTATCGGAGAAATCCTTTGAAGCAGCTCACAGCTCCAGACACTCGGGTTGTTACTTTTTTTAATATCCTCTTTCTAAATATTTACAGGGTTTGGGGTTTTTTTAATTTTTTTTTTTTTCCCAGATTTTACTAGCAACCATATTAAAGATTTTAAGAATGAAGGCTGTTCTGCTGGCAGGTGAGCTGCTCCTACAGCTGTTGTATCGGAGAAATCCTTTGAAGCAGCTCACAGCTCCAGACACTCGGGTTGTTACTTTTTTTAATATCCTCTTTCTAAATATTTACAGGGTTTGGGGTTTTTTTAATTTTTTTTTTTTTTCCCCTTCAAACAAATCCAAAGGCGCGGCACAGATGGGGAAGGAGCAGGTTATGCAAATACTCCTCGGGCAGCTTTACCTGCCGTCGCCCTGGCAACGGAGAGCGGGCAGGGCGGGAGGGCAGCGGGGCTGCGGGCAGCGGGGCGTGCTCTGCCGCCTCTAATTAAATACATTGAAAACAGCAGTTGAATTCCTGGATTTTTATTATACTGATAGGTGGAAGAAATCCAATTATTTTCAGGACGGCCTACATGGCTATAACCATCTGACCCAGCCACCCTTGCATGTGTTGTGTAATTTATTTTGAGTACTCTTCACCTTTGAGCTAGCTCACGTGGGGAAAATCATTCAGGTAACCCAGATTTTACTAGCAACCATATTAAAGATTTTAAGAATGAAGGCTGTTCTGCTGGCAGGTGAGCTGCTCCTACAGCTGTTGTATCGGAGAAATCCTTTGAAGCAGCTCACAGCTCCAGACACTCGGGTTGTTACTTTTTTTAATATCCTCTTTCTAAATATTTACAGGGTTTGGGGTTTTTTTAATTTTTTTTTTTTTTTCCTCCCCTTCAAATTTGTTTTTAAACATCGCGTGTTCCTCAGACGTTTATTTTGCCAAGGAACGCCTGGAGCATCCATTGCATTTATTTGCCTTACTAGGAGGGCTGGAGGGTGGGGAGAGGGGAGTGCTGCGGCTGGAGATGGAGGTGCTGACCTCGGGGGAGACACCGGCTCTCGGAGGGGGAGCACCCTGCACGAAAAGGGGTGCTGCTGCCCCGGGGCAAGCCCTGCTCACCCCAAAACCCATCAGCGAGGATGAGGCCCGCGGGGCTGGGCTGTTTGAGGCCGGCATCGCTTGCTTACACGTTCCCTCTTCTCTCTTTTCCAGGATACCGTTCAAGATCGGGCAGCCCAAGAAACAGATTGTACCCAAGACAGTGAGTAAACCAGTTCCCCCTTTTTAGATCCAGCCTTTGATCATGTGGCTGATGAGTCAAGCCGGCACTTTGACTCGTCCCATTTTGCGAGCGTGTGCGTGTGCGTGGGAGGGAGATGTGAGCGAGCAGAACCTGTTGCCGCGTGTGACCAGCGCTCGGTTCCTCGTGCGAGGAGTGAGGGGGAGCCCCAACCAGGGAGAGTATTTTGGTTTGGGATCTGTTTCATTTTTTTTTTTTTGGGGGGGGGGGGGTGAGGGGAAGAGCTCTTTTGGTCTGGCACAGTTTTCCTCGGAGATGGCTGAACGGGCTTCCTTTCTTCCTTCCTTCTTTCAGCAATGGCTTGTTTGTTCATCCTTTCTGAGCAGATGGAGGAGGAGGAGTGGTTCAGATCGCTGAATATAACTGTTTCCAAAGAAAGGCTTATAAGCTGAGATGCTTAGTGCTCGGGCGTGAATTAATTTGTGCTGCACAGCATTTGCTTTAAAAGCAAATTAAAAAAGCATTTTGTATTCTCATGTATTTGAGACTCCTATCCCAAGTGCTGTTGCTTGCAGCTGGCTGTGGTATTTTCCCTTCTTAAGCAGATGGTCTTTGCCTTTGTCCCGTGCAAAAAAAGCTGTGGGACCTCACAGTAGCTGTCCCTGAAAACCAACCTGCATACCTGCTCTAAAATAAGTGCCCTGACTGCGAGCGCAGTGGAGACCTCGTCTTTATAACGGCATTGGTGACCTAATCCCTTGAACAGACTAACATCTCTGATCCTTCCTCTCTGGACCACTCATTGCGGCTAATTCCTCGGGATGCGTGGACACTCATGTTTATGGGGCAGTTTCTCCTCGGGACATGACATTTTCCTCTGGAGGCAGAGGGCTAATTCTGCCACTCCCTTTATGGCTTGATCGGCATGTTTTATTTTAAGGGATTTGGTAGTTGTCTGCTGCCGTAGAACAGCAATTTTCTGTAACGGCTCCAAACTGTCAGTACAAAATTTAAGCCAGGCAGGCGATGAAGACAAGGACTGGTAAAAACGCTCAATGGTTTTTGTGTCTCTTCAGCTGCCCTTTTTCCAGGGGCTGGCGACCAGCCGGCGGAAGGTGCTGCTGTCTGCGGTCCTCCAGGAAAGGCAGTCCACCAGCCTCAGGTCTTCACACCCATTCCCGTTTGTTTCAGGAGACCCCGCGTTGCCTTGCTCCACGAGATTTTGCCTCTTGTCCCCTTTCCCGGTGTTTCCAACACCGGTGTCCTTCCAGGCTGTTGCAAGAACCAACTGCTCCGCAGCTCTGGGTGTCTTGGCCAGCTTTCTTTGATGTCTCCGTCCCACCTGTTCTCACATCCAAGTTGACTATATTTTCTCTCTTGCCGGTGCTTGCTGATTTCCCTCTGCTCCTGCTGCGTTTGGTGTTGCGAGAGGTTTGTCTGAAAGACCTTGTCTCCCCTGTGCCGTGCTGCTGAAATCAGCCGGCCCCGAGCTGCGGCAGGAGCTTGGGCTCCGTGCAGATGAACGGTTGCACCTTTGAGAGCTTGCCTTCCCCTGAGCTGCTGGTATGTGCTGAGGCAGTTGGCAGGCATTGCTTATATATATATATGTGTGTGTATTAAATAGAACAGCTCAGAATATCCGGCAGGCAGAGGTTCATTCAGCAGCGTGAGTGTTTCCAGGCCTTTTCCCTTTCCTTCCTGCCTGCCTTCCTTCCTTCCCCATCTTCCTCAGCTCCCCCAAGAAGAACAACAAGTTTTTGTGTCAGCGACTCGGTAGCTCAGAGGTGGATGCCAATTTTTAAATGGCTTCCACTTGCCGTGTGTTGATGATGATGATATTCTCCAGGCAGCAGATACGTGGAAAGCAGAAAACAGGAAGCCCAAAGCCTTGCAACCTCACAGTAAGTGTAAAGTGCAGCTCTTCAAAGAAGAACAAACGGCAGGAAACCACCGCTCTCCCCTGGGAGCGAGGCGTTCAGCGTCGTGGTGTGGAAGTGATGGGGCTGCTTTGTAGCTTTAGCGAGCTCGAGGGCCCCAACTTTACCTCCCAGTTGCAGGCTGAGACGCTCCATCTGTGCAGGCTTTTGGGAACAGCGGTAGCAGCCGAGGTCTGTGATATTCCAGATGTCGGGCTCTGGAGCCCGCTGCAGGAAGTGGGAAGGTGTGGCATCTCCAGGGCTGCATCCCAAGCCGATCGGAAGGGAAGTGGTTGCGGGCAGAGGATCTCCCACTCACAGAGATTGGACCACAAAAGAGGAGGGGGGGAGGAAAAAAAAAAAAAAAGCATTTGTTGGGATCTAACTTATTTGACTCTCCATGAGGCATGTAACTCGAGCGCAGGAGAGGGGAGAATCGCTTTGCCGAGAGAGGCTTAGCTCGCCGGCGAGCCTTTTTTCTTTTCTTGATGAAACGATGCTGGGGCTGGTGTCAAATCTAGGCAGGCAGTAGTACTGAAAAGCAATTTGCCTAGGCTGCAGAGGGAATTAGTCATGAGTCCCTATGCCCACTCGCTTCTGATCCTTTGAAGAAGGGCATAGTGTCAGCCACAGTTTAGCTCTTCAGGTAGAAGGAAACCCCCGTAGAAAATACTGGCTGGTGAACTGAAGTGATCTCCCACCCCCCAGACATGCCTCTGCTTTGTTTCCACCTTAACCTGGGCAAATCCAATTCCAGACAGCATAATCTCTCCCCTCCTCTCCCCTGAAAAGAGCAGCTGTCACCGGGCTTGCCGAGAGGCCAGGAGCCGGGTGGGAGGATCTAATGCGCAGAGAGGACCTGCTGTCAGCGGAGCCACAGAGGACACAGTAACACAGCCCAATTAAACTAATGCCCAGTGATAGAAGTTAAACCTGTTAGAATTATATCTCTCTGTAGAATGTTTATTGCTCAAATCCGATGCAGCGATGAAGCCTCTTATGGCAGAGATGTTCTTCCCTCCCCCAGGACAACTTCAGTCCGAGCGGAGGTTACGCTGGAACCAGAGCTGCAGTTATCTTCTGAGCCCTCTTGCAGCTCCAGCTTGCTGAAGTTCATCTGCGTCACCCCAGGGTTGTACCCTGCTCTTCACTGGGGCTTGGGTTATCTGAGCCGGCAGGTAGCCGGGAAGAAGAGCCGGCCGCGCGTCCCCACGGGGCGCGGAGCCGGGTCGGAAGCCGGGAGAGCCAGCCAGCTCTCGTCCCCTCTTGGGACGGGGCAACCCAGCGCACAGCCCCTTCATGTCACCCAGGTTTTACCCCTTCCTCCCTCCCTCGGCAGTGCTCTGGCCTGAGCTGACTCAGATGGCTCGCCTTCCTCCTCCTCGCTGGCTAAACTTGGGTGAGTCAGCTTGGCAGGGAGCGGAGACCTGAGCTGTGGGCCCGCACGCCTGCCAAGCCTCCCTTCCTTGACTCATCCCAGCAGCTCTGCCTTCCCCAGGGATGTCGGACGGAGGAGCTCCGTGAGCAGGAGGATTCCACTGCAGCTGCCGGCCGTCAGCGCCTTTCCACTGAGCTCCACCAGCGAGCTGGAAATCCCAAAATAATGGAGTAAATGTCACAGAAATGGTGGGGTGAAATCAAGTGACGCCAGTTAAATAGTTTTACTCATTTTCGCTCTCTTCCTTCAGTCTTCAGCGGGACGTAACCAGTCTCTGCGGTTCCGAGGTGCATCCTTTTTCCCTTTTAGCGTGCCACTTAAGCAGCCTTTCTTGAGAGCTTTCTCGCTTTTTGGAGGGTTTGGGGAGCTTGCTGGGTGGCAAAGCCCGTGAAGTCCCAGATACACCTGCACTCTGCAGCGTTGCTCTGGCTCAGGGCTCCGCTGTCGGACGCAGAGCAAATATTCACCCACATTACTTGCCTTGAATCTCCTCTTGCTTGATGGGATGGCAAAAGCTCAGCAGAAGTTCCAGGTTATGGCACAATTTCTGGCCTAATTATATGGGTTTCTTTTTTTTTTTGGAGAGGAGGGAGGAGGAAGCATTTGCTTCCCTCTTTTTCCCAAGACCCACGAAGAGGCTGAGACCACTGGAACATGTAGAAATCAGCTAGTCCTCCTCCTCCAGGAAAAGAAATTAACCTCAGGGGAATAAGAAGGTTCATCACAGTCCCTTATTTCCATCTCTTTGTAGTGTTGGCTTTGGTCTTGCTTCGTTGCCTTGTAACCATGGTGTCGATTATGATATTGCCCTTAAAGCAGGAGGGTTATCATCACAGGTGGAAGGCCCAGTGTTTGCAAACAAAAATAACTGGCTGAAAAAGAAGAACATCGTTTTATTTCAATGCTTTTAAGAACTCGTCGTTCTTTATGTAGATTTAAATAAAAACCCAGAGACGAGCAATCTTGCATTAACTAGTCCGTATGCCTAGAAGAAAAAGCGTTCAATACAGAAACACGTTTTGATTTTGAGTTTTCAGAAGGAGGCTGCAGAGAAGTGGGATTATTTTAATATTACGGAAACTTCCCTTCAGGATATTGTAATTTTCTTGCCTGTACTTCTTGTTCTCGTTACTCTTAACGTGATCATCCTATCCACAGCCTTTTGCCGTAAGTGTCGGCTATGCGTGGCCATTGATGATCGCTACTGGGAGGGGGAATTACCGTGTACTCTGCAAAATGTGCTTGGCTTGCTCCCAGCTTGTCCTCCTTGCGCGCCTCTGATCCGCTGGTCGCTGCCGCCTGTAAATCTGCAGGGTGGGAGCACGTGAGAGCGGGTCTTCTCTGCCTAGTGCATGGGGGGCCCTGCCCCTCGCTGCTTCTGTCGTGTATCTGGGCTCCCGCGATGCAAACGAGAGCAGCGATGACTGGGAGGGCTACATCAGCCTGCAGACTGTGATGACTGGTAGCCAGTTGCTACTGTGGGCGTGAAAAATAAGAGCAATCCTTGGGCAGCTGTCTCTGCATAGATGGCACTGGGGATGTGAGTCAAGCCGGGCAGCTGAAGTGCCGCCTTGTAGGTTCACCTTGATCGTATGTAGAAAGCCCACAGGCTAACCGGGGTTGGGTGTTTCGGGGAAGCTTGGAAGCCCTGGAAGATTTGGGGGTTCACATCACCCGGAGGGTCGCAGGGTAGGGAAGTTTGGCCTTCCTTCGTGTCCGTTAGGTGACGATGCCTTTTGCTTGTCTCCGCTCATTGCACGGTACTGGGGGAATCGAACAGCAAAAGGGAAGGGGCAGATACCGTGGATCTTTGCAGGCAGTTTCATTTCGTGTCCAAACCCTCCGGTTCTTGGAGGAACCGATGGCTGAGCAGACACAAGGAAGAACCTCCCGAACGTGGAGAGGGCTGGAGCTCCATGCCAGGGGAAGGATACCACCAGCCTTCAAAGGACATATTTTTGAGTCGTGCCCGACCCTCTCTGGTTTGCAACCAAAACAATTCACACATAAGGCGTATAAATAGACTGCAATACTCCCTGGTTATTTTAGCAGCCGGAACAGCCATAGAAATCGAGGGTGATTTTTACTATGTGCTGGTTACCTGACCTCCAGGCACCAGCTGCTGCGGATTTCTGCAGAACTGTGAACCAGGCAGAAGTCGTGTGAGCTGCCCCCACACTGCTCCATGCCTGTTCTCCAGCGACCATTTTTAGCAGCACGAAAGGGAGTTGGAGCTCGGTGGAGGTTTTTCATCGGCAGGGAGAGCCAGCATGCATCCCCCGGATGGTGGGAGCTGATGGTGTGGACAGCTGTCTACTGGGGATGGGGCTGACACTCGGCACGCTCGCCGCGCGGGTCACCGGCTGCCTTCAGACGGGGCTGGTCCTGTCGCTGCGGAGTGTCTGAAAGTGCAGACCAAAAAGATATTTAGAAAAGGAGGTTTCAAGAAAACTGGGATTACTGGGCTCCATCTTAAAATACTGGTCTTTTAACAGCAATTTTGGTTGAAAAGCAAATGTCCCTATTAAGTGTTCTGGTTTCACATAATGCTGTTACATCGAGCCCGGGTTTGAAATCCCGAGGACAGCATGAAGATTTGGAACAAACCTTTGGATCCTTCTAGTCCTGGCTGCTTGCAACACTTAGCATTTCCTTAATAGCATGGTAGCTTGACAACACAAATGAACCCAGTTTTGATCCCATGACAACAAAAGCGCATATATTTACTCTTGGCTGGTCAATTGAAATCCATTTGCTTATTTGGTCGACGAGGTGTGGAATGAATGTTTAAGTGTGTGTTAAAACAGTCAGCATGGAAAGAAAGTTCCTTAAAATAACTTGTATCACTGGAGATTTGCTGCCAGATAGCAAGTAGGAGGAAGCAGTCATTGATGTAGCACTGGGAGAAGGTTGTTCTTGAGCTCTACGCTCTTCGCCAGCACAGGTTTCTCCTCCCTGTGCGAGGTGCCACAGTCCACTTGGACCACTGCTCCAGCTGAAGTATTTCATCGGAGGGAGCTATCGCAGGAATAAGGAGCGTATCGAGGGGGCGAATAATATGGAGACTGGAGGGCTCAGTAATGGCTTGAGGGGTCTGGGGGGAGAAAAACCACCATGTTGAGGATGGGGAAGGAGAGAGCGGCTGGGTGGGGGTCTGGCAGCCAGCCACGGGCAGACCCACCGCAGGGGTCCTTTGCAGCATGCTGCTGGAGGAGAAGCGGCTCCTCTCAGCTTCTGGGACGATCGTGCCTCTGGAAGAGAAAGCGGGCTCGTCCCCCGCCGGCACAGAGCTGAGCTGTGGGCGCCTGTGTCAGTGTGTGCTAAGTTGCGATCTCTCTGCTTTTAAGGCATTCCCATTTACTCTGTCAGCTTCCAATTCATGTGCTGGAGCACATCCTTGGAATGAGCTGACGCAGTTGGTGGCAGTGTCTTTTGCTCTAAGAGAGTCTGGAGGAAAAAAACCCAAGACTTCATTTACTTTTGAAGCGTAACTCCCATTATAGCTGCAGCTTATGCTTCCCTGGGTTCACGTAGGCATTTCCTAAGGACAGGTTTCCCTGCACAGGTAGTTGCCACTCCGGGCTCTGCTGCAGTGCCTTTGAGCTGATTTCCATCTCTTCTTTCCACAGGTGGAGAGAGACTTTGAAAGGGAATATGGAAAGCTTCAGCAGTAAGTATCAACCACACTGGTAAAACAGGAACAGTAGCATATTTCTCTGTTGTGCATCTTCCCTGTTACTGCATCTTCCCAGGAAATTTTAGCCAGTTATGCTCTTCCCAGCAAATCACTCACTGCCCTGTAATTTCTAATTCTTCAGAGTTCCTCTGGTGACTGGGTGTTCAAAGGTGTCCTAAGAAGTATTTGCAATGGGGTTGAGGTTTGCAGATCACGGCAGCTCTAAAGTAAAGAGTGTAAAATTGCCAGAAAACTGTGGGGTCACCGGACAGCGCAACGCCTCTGAGGACAAATATTGGTTTTACCATACTGACTGTGTCACATAAGCTCACACTTATCATGTGGAAGCATTTGGCTTTACCATTTGTGGTAAGTGTGAGGACTTAAGAAAATATGTGACTTTGAATAAGAGATCACCAACTTGAAAAGGTTGAAAACCATCTGAAAACAACCAGAAAAGGTTGAGCAGCACTGAACTTCATAGAGCCTTGCCTAGATATTTTTAACTCACAACAGAAGCCAGCATATTCAGCCCGTAAATGATTTGTTGCACGTATGATACACTTCGGTTTGTTTCTTTCCAAGATTCAGACTTTGCCTTGTTCTCCCATCTTTCAGATTGGAAGATCAGACCAAAAAACTTCAGAAGGATATGAAGAAAAGCACAGATGCAGACTTGGGTATGTGACTGTAGGATACATAGACTGTGAACTTGGCCACAAAGAGATGAAGTGACTTTCTCAAGATCACATGAGTAATCTGTGACAAGTCTGGAAAACAAATCTAGATCTCAGTCCCACTCAGTTTGCTTAGTTACAAGGCCATCTGCATGAGGGCTGCCGAGCAGTATCTCAACCAAGGGAACAGAAAGTATGTTATGGGCTTAGTCCCTGTCTCCTGAGCTGCAGCTTGCTGCGTGGCCTTGGACAAGTCACTTTCTTTTCTTTGCCTCAGTTTCTGCAACCAAAAAAAGGGAGTAATTATTCCAGTTCCCATGTTAGAAGGGCAGGAGCAACCTCCAGCTGAGCCTATTGGGTCGAGCAATGCATATTCACCTACTTCAGTCGAGGGCATCTTATGCCCTCTGAAGCCAAAGGAAGGTGGGATGAGGCTTTGAGGGGTCTGCAGAGCACCACATAGGCATCGCTATACGTGTCTCACGTGTGAACTGCTGACCTAGCAGCTCCCATTCAGGAATAACCCTGCTCGTTCCCTTGGTGGCTGCTTGCTTTGGCTTGACCTCGTGGCAGTGGGCGATGTAGGAAGCAATAAACAAGTCATCTCCGCGTGTACCGCCGCAGCTGCCTGCTGCTGCCTGCGCGGGGTGACATCTGCCCTTCAGGTGTCCCGTCCCAAGGCACGGCAGCCCCTGCCCGCTCCATTCATAGCTTCTCTAGTAGGAAACCGGTGTGACCGCACCACGTGGCGCAGGCTTTAAACGAACATGGGGGAGAGAAGATGGAGCGATCTGGCGGAGGGGAGCTGGGAGAAGTGGATTTGGTGGATGCCGGTTACTGAACCGAGCAGGGCAGCCTGCAGAAACATGCAGCACGGAGCTGTTTTAAACACAGATGGTTTTTCTCAGCATGTGGTTTGGAGTAGTCCCTATTTGTACTGGGCCCCCACAGCTCCAGAGCCAAGGCAGATGCACCAGCGCAAACAGGTGTGGGCTGGACCGGTCCAACACTCATCTCGTGGGAGTTCGGTTCACAGAGGGGCAGAGGAGTGGGAAGGAGCCCCACCGGGCGCTTTGCCAGCGGGAGGGCTGGCAAATTTGGGGCTTCCCATGATACAGGCTCTCACCTGTGTGTATGTCTGTGTGCATGCTCAGATATTGCCAGACATAAACACGGATCCCAGCTCTTGCCCGCGCCCTCCCACCCTTCCCAGCACCGTGCTGGCACGTGTGTGTGCTCGCACAGGGAGAGCAGTGGGAAAGGCACCAGTAACCAGCGCTGCCAGGACTCCTTTCCAGGGTGAAAACTGCCCTTTCTGGGGACTTTGGTCATTGTCAGGGATCCTTGGTAAGTTTTTCCTTGTTAAGGATTCCCCTCCCCTCCCTTGCAGTGGGCGTTGTTTATATGGAGCATTTCAAGTCCCAGAGGAGCTGTGGGAGGACTTTCTTTTTCCGTTCTGCTACATGGCAGAGTCACAAATGAGCCTTGGCCAGATCCAGTAAGATCTGATTTCTCATTTAAAGGCATGAAATCATGAGTGTAAGGGAAGATTTTGAATGTGGTCTGGTGAGGGATGGGTGAAGGAAAAGGAGGTAGATCTGATCAAGCGCTGAGGACTGCTTTCCTCACCTGGCAGTGCCCATTCCCGAGAGGAGATAGCTGTGCTTGCTCAGCCAACGTCCAGCCCCCATATCCGACAAGGATGGCAGTGTATCAGCGTTGTTGTGTCCTCCTGAGTGTCTTCTTTCTTCCACTGTACCTCTGTGCCGAGGGGTTTGATTATTCACTGCCTGCAAACACTCCCTAGCAAACTGGACCTCGTGGCTCGAGTCTCCACCTTCTGCCAAGAAAGACTCAGCTCAGAACGAGACCGATTCCTCCGTCTGCATGAAAATGTCCCTGCGAGGCTCGGCCGCTGCCCTGCCAGCTGCAGCTGCGTGGCTGGGAATGGGGTACGGGTTATTAGCAGCACTCTCTCTACTGTGGCTAAAGATCACAAACCCCTTCCCCACCCTCTTTCCAGACAAAATATGATCTTGAGGAGCAGGAGGATGTTCTTTAATTGGAGGCAAAAGGTCTCCTTCTGAAATGAGATGCAGGTGACCCACTGGATCACCGTGGCTCAGTTTTGCTCTCTGGAGCGTGCCTGGCTGTTCTCCACTACTCTTATCGTGATGCAAACAAGCAGTGACTCTTTAAAGTCACCTCCTTTAATTGGAGTCGTGTCCCACATGCTTTATGAGCAAAGTGCAGTACAGACCCTCCTGAAGCCCACCCCGAGGGGCAGGTGATCCTCTCTCTCCTCTCCCTCTCCCTCTCCCTCTCCCTCTCCCTCTCCCTCTCCCTCTCCCTCTCCCTCTCCCTCTCCCTCTCCCTCTCCCTCTCCCTCTCCCTCTCCCTCTCCCTCTCCCTCTCCCTCTCCCTCTCCCTCTCCCTCTCCCTCTCCCTCTCCCTCTCCCACATCAGTGATGTGCCTCTTGAGTTTCAAGACAGGGCTCACCACCGGGCACGTGGAGGTGGGACCAGGGGATGCCCTCCCGGGGTCCCGGCCCTCTGCACACCACTGGGGACGCAGCGTGTGCCAGGGTCTGCAAAGCTGTCTTGGGAACCGCAGAGCCCACCACGGCTGCTTTTTCAGAGCTGCACAGGTGAGGTCAGTGACGCAGGGGGAGTGTCTGGCCCAAAGTCTCACTGAACGTGCCTGAAAAGCCCCAGTTTCTGGCCTCCCGGCGTGACCCCGCTGCTCGCCGCAGCTCTCCTCGCTACAGTACGCTTTCAATCCTTTCCTTATGAAGGGAAGCTAATTTTTCTTCCAGCTGAAGGAGTTCTGCCATTCTTAACTCTGTCCCGTTTTGGCACAAATCCTTCCTCAGATGTGGTCACACATATGGATTATATCCCATCTGTTTAAAGGTTTAAATGCCTAAACCCTTAATGTTTGGATAATAGACGGATACGGTAGCTTTGTTATTCTGTAGTTAGCGTCTCGTTCTGCATTGAGCTTCCCAGCTATTTAGCTTCTGAGCTCTCTGTATAATTGTGTGTAACCTTTAAATCAGAATGTTTAACCCCTTGATTTATGATCTTAAGCCCCATTATTCAGATGACTTTAACTTTTAATATCTGAGTGAGTACAGTAGGGGTCTTTCCAAAGCTCGTCTGTAGCATGGCTCAAGCATCTGGCCTTCTTAAACTGGAATAACTTCAGCAACAGCGCTGACGAAAAAGAACATTTTTTTTTTTTAGTACCCGTGCCTTTTTTTTTTTCCTTCTTTATTCCCATTTATATTGATGCTTGCCTTTTTATTCTCTTTTTTTTTTTCCATTCTGTACCTTAGCTATTTTCTTGCTCTTTTATAGCGGTCCTGTCATAGGGATTTAATTTTCCCTTTGAAGACCAAGTCTGTGGATAGGAAGAGAGATGTGTCTGATGGAAAACAAGCAAAAGTGCTCGGCGAGGCAGGAACTGAAGCCCATCAGCGTGTGACCTGGTGTTTCTTTATTTCTCGCTGACAGTCTCAGTGTCTGAAGAGACTTCAGCCTTTGCATTTTCCCCTGGCTTGTTGGTTGGGGTTGGTCTCCATGGGCAGAAAATTTAGGCTCATTGAGGGAAAGTGCTTAGCCAGCTTGTGTCTCTGCTGCTTGTGTAGTGCCTATTTTGAGAGTAAAAGAGAAACCTCGTCTTCCAGTCCTGTCAGTCTGGTCCTTTTCCACCAGCACTAAATCCACTTCAAATATATATTTTTGTAAAGCCATTTGAAAGACTTAATGGACTGTGATTTTTTCTCATTGTGGAAGAGCTGTAGTGAGACTGAGAGTGACACTTAATAGTCTGTCGAGAAAAGACATATTAAAAAACCCATCTACATTTTTTTAAGAGAACAGTGCTTTTGTGAGTCTGGTATTATTTCTGGCAACATCACAAGCCGTACATAGGAGTGGTTCAGACTTAACTTTATAAAAACAGTTCTCTGGGTGTTCACGTGAATGAATTGGTGGCTCTTCCTTTCTTTTCTCTCAACCAATGTCGAATATCTTCCTGGAGAGTTGTGCTAAGCCCTCCTCGGTGGCTGAAGTCCCTGGGTTTTGCCCACGGGTCACCCTTTGCAGATGCAGGAGCCAGCCCTGGCAACGAGGGGCTGTGCGGCTGTCCCGCCAGGCAGCCGCTGAGACGGGACCCTCTCTGCTTTCCTTTGCTTGCATGCTCCTGTTGCCCACAGCCATGTCCAAGTCGGCTGTCAAAATCTCTTCAGACCTGCTGTCTAACCCCCTGTGCGAACAGGAGCCCAGCTTTCTGGAGATGGTCACGGCCTTTGACACGGCGATGAAGAGGATGGACTCTTTCAACCAGGAGAAGGTGAGTATGGGTTTGGCTGGAGAAGGGGAGACCAGGGTGTGCTGAGGTGCTGTTGGTATCTCCTCCTTCCCTTTTTGTCATCGTCTCCAAGATGCTTCCCACATGAGTTTATAATCTTACTCTTCTGACTCTGGTTGTACTGGGGATTGCAGCTCATGCTGAGCACATGGGAGAAGTTTGCTATTTTTTGGTTAAAGGGCTTTGTGGTTGTGCTCAGAAGCCCACATCATCCAATGGCAGGCACTGTGCAAACGTGTATCGTTGTGCAAACAGGCTTTTTCAACAAGCCTGACGTGTAATCATCCCTTTTGCTTTCAACAGGTGAATCAGATCCAAAAGACAGTCATAGAGCCTTTGAAAAAGTAAGTACCAACGTTGTCTTATGAGCCATATCGAGTGTTTGTCATAACCGTGTACTTCAGGGATGTGTATCATCGAAAGAGATGTTGTCGGGTTAGAAATCGGCCCTTCCTAAAGAGGTAGTAGTTCACATCCCTGTGACAAAATGGCATCCCTCTCGCTTTACAGCTGGGGCATGGAGAGGGGGAATGGTTTAGCTGAGTCCGTACTCTTACTCTGTGGCAAGGGTAAAGACCTCTTGTGTCTTAGCCTGCCAGATGTCTTCATCTGTTCTTTAAACAGATTATTTCTGATTATATATTTATATCAGATTATTAATCTAGACAGATTATTTCTGTTTAGATGAGTAATACTGAACGCATTAAGGCATCCAGCTTCTCTCCCTTTATATGTTGGTTACTACCAACACTTTGCTCCATCCAAATGAGAAAAATCATCTGGGGAGCTCCCCTGCGGGCAGCAGGCGTGGACAGTGCCGTCCAGCCCAGGGTGGTGAGTATTTAGGTGTTTGAACAAAAGTTGCTTTCCTTTGGAAGTTTTCTAAATAAAAAAGCAGAAGCTTGCTTTTAGTGAAAGTTCTTTCATGTTTATAAAGAATATATCCACGCAGGAAAGAAAGAGACGTGACAGAGCCGTAGCTAGACAGCGAGCAGGTGGGAAGTACGGACAGAACAACACCGGCATCCCCCGTCCCAGGCCGGTCACTGATCCAGGACGGGATGTCTCAGACCCTGGAGAGAGTCTTGCAAGCCTCTGCGGGAAAAGCTTCAGACCGCGCGTGGTCTGAAGGGCCAGGGTGGGGTGCACGTGGAGGGGAGCCCGCTGCGGAGTCACGCCGGGAGCCACCCTGTCACCAGGAGGAGAGGTGGCAGGGACTGTGCCGGAGTCGGACCTGGCTCCAAACCGTGCCCGTCCGCAGATTGCACGGTTTGGAAATAAATCCTTACCAGAGAGCGAGAGCCGGAGCTGTTGACAGTTGTCGTGACAGGAAGAAACTTAACTCCATCCCAGCCGAAACCGGGACAACAGTATTGTTCTGGTAGCAGGTTTCCGTATTTTCCCCCGTTCCTTGCGAACCGGTGCCGTGCTCAGTGCTCAGTCGTGCCCCGGCACCGCGGCAATTTCGTCACCTGGCTCTCAGCTGGTGCAATTCCCCTCTGCACAATTTCCCCCGGCGTTAGCGGCCGTTACCAGTGTCACAGGCTGTACCCCTAAACGTTTAAGGAGTGCTTCAGTTGCTATGCCAAATGTCTTCTGAAATCCTGAGATTTGCTGTTTTGTTACAAGAACAGAGCAAGCGAGAGAAAATAAAATAAAATGACTTTAATATGACAGTAAGTGTTGCAAATTGCTGAATAACACTTTTAGTTTAGGTTTGACACAGGGTGGGTTTTTTTCTTTTTAAGTTGTTGTTTCTGCCCAAATCTGAAAGTAAAATCTCATATACCACTTAGCGCATGAGGTTACAGTGTGTTTCTATCCGGGGGATGTTTGGTGACTCAAGTTTTACCTTGGTCGTCTATCCACGACCAGAAATTCTTGATTATTTAGAAATAAAAAGAAAGAAAGAAAGAAAGAAAGAAAGAAAGAAAGAAAAAAATCCCAAGCTTGCGCTGTGGAATTGTGTTGCTTATTATCTAGATTGTCCTCATGAAAGATACATTAACTTTTTCTTCCAGCATTCTGTTAAAATTGGAAGAAGGGCTTGGGTCTCTGAAATCTTCATGGTTTTGGTTTTTTTTTCCCCTAACTTGTGTTAGTCGATGAAATGAAAGATAGTACCTTTCCCTGCAAACCTTGCCTTGTGTTTTAAACCCTGGGCAGGGTATGGGGCCGCTAATTAAAGACAATAAAGCCATTTCCACATCCCCGACTTCTTATTCAGCGTTTGTGCAGTGTTTGGCTGCTGGTCTAGATGCTGCCGTAGCACAGACGGTACAAAAGGGGAAAGAACCCTTTCCTCTTGCTTTGGGTTTGAGGCTGCTGTGCGAGATCACGTTGTATTGTTCCTGCCGTAAGGAAATATTGGGGAAACAGTGGAGTTTTGCAGGACACGGGGGCAGTTGGTTTGTTCCTCCTTGGCACCAGCGCGGTGCCTGCGACCGCATCTCACAAGGTGTCGTGCTCAACTCGCCTGCTATCAGTCCAGTCCTTAGTTGCACGTAAGGGCGTTTACTTCAGCGTCCCGGCTGCTTTCCCGTCTTGGCAATTCCCTCGAACTTCCTAAATTTCCATTGGACTTGAATATGGTATTTTTTTCCCTTCCTGCCCTTTGGCACCTGCAATCAGTTGCTGCGTGCTCTTAAACAGCTTATGTTTCACGCTTGGAGAGGCTGCATCTCCACGCCGAGCAAAAAATGTTCCTTTCCTTCCCTCTTTCTGACTCTCCGCGAGCGTAGGTACGTGCATGGCCGAGTCGTGCAGCCAGGAACATTTCTAAGGAGCCCAAGGGTCCATTTTGAGGCTAATGAGATGCAGGAGAGAAATGCAGAGCTTGCACCTCCCCTTGTCCTGCTGGCAGATAAACCCCAGCAACGTTTCTAGGATAAAAGTTTCAGATTAATGAAAGCTGCCTTGAGGAGCTCTTCTTATTTCCAGTTAGGTATTGCTTCCCCTCGCGGAGACAGTCCTCCCCAGCCTCTCCCAAACTCGCTTTGACCTAGAAAAAGGCTTGTGCTACAACAGCTGCACTTTATTACATCTTCACTGGTGGTCTTCTATAGTTTATTAGCCAAAGAAACAGATAAGTATAATCCAGGCAATTATCATTAGTGGTAATATATTGTAATCAGAGGCACATGTGTGGTAAAATCTCCATTCAGTTGTCCAGGGATAGTAGGTTTCAGACAAATATTGGAGAATTTGTTAAACCATGTAAAAGAGAGCGGTACTAGATTTAGAGGGGGGTGGAAGCTCGTATTGTTTAAATCCTTCTGCTTCTGGGGACGTAGGGTTATTCAGAGTTTTGTTTTTTGAGCCCCAAGAAGCCCTTGGCTGGGAATCACTCATTTAATTGCAGGGAAGGAGCAAAGCTCTAATGAGAATATTGCATGCTTCAGCGTGTGGGTTGGGCAAGGAGCTGGGGTGGCTGGGAAAGGTCGGGAGGGATCTGCTCTCCTCTTTGGGAGATGCCTGCGTAAATTCACACCAGATCAGCGGATTTGGGGCAAGGGGGGAGAAAAACAGCTGCTTTTTACTTCACTCTTCCAGTTCTTCACTCTGGCTTGGGTGAGGAGTGAGGTGTATCGGCTGGACCGGGGATTGGTGATAGACTGTGTACTGTCATCTTAGTGTTACATGTTGTGTGTCAGTATTTAAGGGAGGAAGCAGCTTAAATAAGCCAGGTGGTTTGGAGATTCACAGGCTTTAATGCCTTTCACGTTTGGAGCCGATTTTCGTTGCCGCAGGGTCTCGAGTTAACAAACTCGAGCTGTCTGAACCTCCCTGAGCATCGGGATGTCGTGGTCGCCCTGGCACGGTACCCGCCCCTCGGCTTGGAGCATGGTCCTGCTCCTGCAGCCGAAGCCGAGGGGCTGCTGCAGGGCAGGGAGAGGCTTTGGCAGGGCTATCGCAAAGGGTGCTGCCGCCTGGGTGCCATCAGCCGGGGCTGGGTGTCAGCGCGGCGGGAGGTCCCAGAGGTGCAATCCGGGAGCCGTTCGCAGCAGGTTGATGTATAAATTCAATTAGAGCTGTATGTCAGCAACTACCTGCCAGCGATAGCAACCGATCCTTGGCACCCGCGGAGCGGGGGGGGGTGCGCGTGTGTCTTCTTCTTCCCATAACCCTGCCCGTTAACGTGAACCCTCGAGCTGCGTTTCCTCCCCGGCAGCCGGAGCAGATAACCGGCCGCGAGCAGCCCCGGGGGTGCCGGGGACCGGAAGCAGGAAAAGCCGCTTTCGTGTCCTTAACGAGCCCCTAATGAGGATTTCGTGGGCAAAGCTAGCCACATGGCTGCCTGGCCCCCTCCCGCCGCGCGGGGCTCCCAGCCTAATCCCCAGCTCCCTGCTTTTTTGTACCCTCGTCTTCATTTCTGTTCCTTTTCGCTCTAGTCGGAAGGGCTGGTGTTAATTTCCCCTTTCCTGGTGGGTGGACGGGCCCACGACGGACGTGTGGGCACGGGCTGAGGAATGGCAGGCATCCCCGAACATAGCCCAGATGCTTCAGCCTCGCGCTGAGCCATCCTTGTGCCTCTCCAAACTTCCTCCTCATCTCATCCACCGTCACTTTCTTTAGCATCTCATGCTCCCCAGCTCTGTTATGCCTTTTTCCCCTGTCCGGTGCCAGCCGTAGATCCTGTCCGCTTCCTTTTGCTTTCGGTATCCAAGCCTTTGTCCCTAAATAATGCCATAGGGAAGAGCGCACGTGCATGCCAGCCTAGTCCAGCTCACGGGGCTGCCAACGAGAGCGCCTGAGACACTCGCAAACGGGGAGGAGTAAAGGTTTTACCATTATTTTTCCCTGTGTCAAAGCCCTAGCACCTCTTTCGCGTTGCTGACACTAAAAACGGGGGCTGGAGGAAGCCGCAGGGCGAGCATCGGGGATGCATTGGGGCAGGCAGCGGGGATGGAGACGGAGAGGAGAAGACGGGGACCTCGCTGCAGGCAGGGAGGTGATGGGATGGTCCCGCTCCTCGAGCATCCCCGCAAAGAGCCGCTCGCTGGGCTGGCCGGCGGCCTCCCGCCAGAGAGGGAGAGAAGTTTTCAATTTTCAAGCACCAGACTCGTCAGCTGGGCTGACTAACGAACGAATCCGGCAGCGACGGGAATCCTGGTGGCGCTTTTATCTTCCGTGGCAGTGTCTCTCCAGCCCCGTCCTTTAATTATGGGAAGCTGAAGGGAGGCTGGCGTGGAGACGAGGTGGCAACGATTTATAATTCAGAGAATCGGGTGATTCATATTTTTTTTTCCAGGGCTAAACTGTCATCCTAAGAGGAGTTCACCAGTACATTCCCCCTCTCCCCCCGCAGCAGCGGGGAGACGGTAATTTGTATTTTCTTTTAGTTATCCCTGTGTATCTTCCCTCACCTGCTCCTCTTAAGCCGCCTGTACTGTAATCCCCTCTCAGCAGCCTTGCCTAAAAAGTGACAGGGAACAACGGCGGCTTATTCTGCAAGCTGCTTTCGTGGCGGGGGCTCTAATGCCCTGTGCTGCTGTTTTACCTTCACTTCTGCTCTGTGCTTTTAGCACCGTACCCACCAAATTTTCTTTAAGTCGGCTTCAATTTGCTTGCCTTTGTATTAAAAAAGAAAGTATCGAGTAACAGAGGGCGGTCCTGGGGATCTGTGGGTGGTTACGGCTGTCAGACCCTCTCGTCCCCTGCAAGAGCAGGGTCTGGGTGGAGCGTACGGAGGAGGATGGTGCTGGGCTTATCGATAAATACCCACATCTACTATAGGGCTTTTCATCTGTGCTTCTCGGAGCACTTTGCAGCAGGCGGAATCGTTGCCCTTGCTCCGCGTGCGGGGGGAATGGATGGGTGAAATGACCAGGGTTTGCTTGTGAGGCTTCCCCGGTCCTGCTAAAATGCTAAAATTCTGGTTTTAGTTGTTCAGACCTCATTTCCAGCCTGGATGATACTGTTTGGACGTTGCTCACCACCCATGGCACTAATGACGGTCCTGGTCCCTTGTCTGCTGGCACCACCGCTGCCGGGAGGGTTTGCGATGCTTAGGCGAAGGCTTTGGAAAAGATTTGAGATCCTCACAGGGTTGTTCTCGCAGGGCTTGGGAGACTGAGGGATGTGTTTGTGGATGGCAGGAGCTTTTGGAGGGTTTGTAGACGGCATTTCTGCCAGGCTTTCCACGAGGAGCATTTGTAAATAACATGCATGAGATATTTGCGAAGACACTGGGGTGACATGTGAAATGCAGCAATTTATTAAGCCGTCAGAATAACTTGGCAGCGGCGGAGCCCGTATCTCCCTATCACCCTTCACGGGTGTTTACTACCCCTGGCACTTGGCTTGAGATTGTATTTCTGTACACACGGGGAGAAAAATCTGGGCAGGACTTCAACGTGGGCAAGAAACCCACTTCTCTCTGAACTCCAGGGGAATTTCAGAGCTTCTGGGTTAATAGGGAATTCGTACGGAGTAATTCCTCCAGGAGCCGGAGGCAGCTTCGCCTCAATCCAGATCAGTCCAAGGAAGGAGCATCCTTCCCTGCTTGAGCTGAGCTAATCCTGCGTGAAAATTAAACCAGGTGACTCACGGGGAGAGCTCGGTCGGCACGGGGAGAGCTCGGTCGGCACGGGGAGAGCTCGGTTGGCACGGGGAGAGCTCGGTTGGCATGCTGGCGGTGTCTGGAGGAGCTGCGGCTGGCCCGGTCCTTCCTGCTGGTTCTGGTGATGAAGGACCACCGCACCGAGACAACCTCAGCTGCCACGGGGGGTTTGCAAGCAACTTAGAAACCCCCACGCCGCTTCGCCGCTCGGCTGCGGCTGCTCAGGAGAAACTCAAGCGGGTTTCAGTCGTGCTGCTCGCAGCCCTTAAAACCCCTCGAGCATCGCGGGGGGTGGTTCGAGCCCCCCGCGCACATCCCTCAGCAATCCATCACTTAAGGCTGATGTTTCCAGCGCCCAGGCTGGAGCCCGGGGCACCCGGAGCCGGGCGGCCGTGCCCGGCATGGCTGCGGATCCGGGGAGCTGACATGGTGCCTTGTGTTAATGGCAGCTTGTGGAGCTGAGCTGCCCCCCCCCCCTCTGAAATGCAGCATATAATCTATGCATTAAAAGTCCTTGTGAGACAAGTAGTTGCTGTGCCTACACAGTAACAGCCTCTTCAGATCCAGCGCTGTAGCTGTTTTTTAAAGCGCTGCCGGAGTACAGTGTCCTTCCATTATGGGCTGCAAAATCGCACCGTGTTGATACTAGGAACAAAAAGGGGGAAAAAAAAAATAGAGATCAAGCCTTCTTCCTTTTTAAAACCAGATTTAACTTCAAAGTAAATGGAAACTGTGTTGCTAATCGTCTTCTGCATTCTCACTTGCTGTGTTTCGGAGCTAAAGGGTTTGCTCTTCCCCTGCGGTAGCGAGTTTGTAAGATGTAAATGGCTGCATGCTAATTCTCTGGTGTCTCGTGGCTCTTTTAATGTATGAGCACCGTGGAAGTGCCGAGCATGGCAGAGTGTGCGAGAGAAAGGGCTCAAAAGCGGGGCCGTCAGAAAAATGCCATTTAAAAGCTAGTGTTGGGTACCGACGCAAGGCTTAGCATTTTTGAGGCATCTTCTTGATGAGCGTTTTCCAAGAGTTGGTGGGTGCGCGGGCAGTGACGGCCGCATCCAGGCCACACCGGTGGCTTGGCAGCGCCGGAGGGAACAACCACGGCTCAGCATTCGGTGCACAGCCTCCCTGCAGAGCAGGGAAGGGAGGATTTCCCAGCCCCGGGCCGTCTCCTCCAGCATTTGCCCGTCCCAGAGGTACGTCGTGGAGGAGCAGCTCGTTGCGGAGGAGCAGCTCGGCTCGCCCCCGTAGTCGTTAGTGAGCTGCAACCTGCTCCTGCCCTGCTTTTGGGTGCAATGCAGAGAGGTAAGAGGTTGTGCGCCCTGTTACCAAACCCGCCCCATCAGGGATATAGCACAAAAATAAAGCCGAGAGCCGCTGGCCTGACGGGATCCTTCCTTTCCATTGCCAGCTCGTTAATAATTGGGAGAAATTTCTGCAGAAGCTGCAACCGCAAGCTGCTGACATTGTGTGCCGTCGGCAAAGAACGTCTGTGCTTTCATGCCGAGCAGACCTCTCAACCTGGGTACCCCTTCCCTTCCTCCGTGCAGTCCTTACTGCCCATCCCGATTTCCCTAGCCCTCTCACGGCATATTTTTGGACCTTATGTAGAGGGAGGAGGTATTTTAGCAGCGGCCCATGGCCCAGGAGATGGTGAGTCCACGCTTGGAGCCTGGCGCAGCCAGGACCCGTAAAGCCGCTGCGGCATTTAAATATAATGGGGAGCCGTGTGCGACGGTTACCATAAAAAGCAATGTCAGGGCAGCAGCATCTGATCCGTGCGCGGGCAGCTGGGCGGCAGGGTGACGCTGGGCGAGCTCCCTGATGACTTTTGCAGGTTGCTCCTCGCGCCGCGGCCCCAGCTGCGATCGTCTCTCGCGATAGTCTCGGTCGGAAGGAGAATGTGAGCACACGAGAGCCTTGCTGGCCATGCACGGACCGGCCCTGGTTATCCTCGGCCGGCAGGATTGCAAGAAGACATCCCTGGTTCACCATCTCAGTGAGGGATGCTTGAACGCAAGTGCTTGAACACAAATATTTCCCCTTCCCCCTCGCTTCTGGCATTTGCCCTTTGCAAACTGGTAAGGCTCAGGGACAAAAGCTTTGCCTCTGCAGCCGCCAGTCGGGCACATTAGCACCCTCCGGGGCGAGCACGGCAGCGGAAAATGAGATTTTAATAGGGGTTGGAGTGGCTATGCAGGGCTGCGAACGCCCGTGGTTTTGTTTGAACCCGAATGCCTCTGTATTAGCCCTGCATCTGATTACATCTAAAGCAAATTACAGTCGTAAAGTGAGATTTGTGGTTTTCTTTTTGCTAATGTGCCCCCCAGCCTGGATTATAGGTTGGGGTTTGGGTTTTTTTTTTTCAATTTAAAGGGATCAGAAAGCTGTTTGCTTGCCTCTCAGAAGTGAAAATCATCACCAGGCTGTTTAGACACATTTTTCACGACCGGTTCCTGGCCTTGGCCCCCCAAAATGACCCTATAATTTGTGGAGATTAAATTAATACATCCGGAGGTAGTGTGACCCGTTTCATACGAACCCGTCGCCCAGCACCAGCGCAGTTCCCACCGGTATAATTTGATTTACTGAAATTTGGGAGACAAGAGCAATGCTCCGGTTTCTGGCTTTCCCTCTTCTGTCGCGTTCAAAAAATATTCTGTCTTGTCTTCGCCGTCAGATGTTCATGTTTCCTCAATTTGTAACACATTTTAATAATATGATTCTTCCCGTAGCCTGGCTAATTGTTGGCTGCTGTTAATACTTCTGCGTGGGGTACAGACCTCCTCTTCAGCTGGGCAAGCCTTGCTGTACGGCAGGCTGGGGTTTGCAACCCCAGAAATTGCCCAAAAAAGCAAAAGTTGCTGCAGTTAATATTTATTTTGCACTTCGTGTTTATTTTTCCTGGACTTTTGATCCAGCTCCTCTCCCTGCTCGTTCCCTTTCCAAACACGGTATTGGGGAAATACCGCATTAGCTAACTATATATGGGGGAAAAGTTGTTTATTTTTCCTTTTTGGTTTGCTCGGTGGAGTTAACAGCTTTGTTTTCTGCAGCAGCTTCCGTCCCCCGTCCCAGATAAGGCAGCTCTCCGTGTTCTCAAATACAGCAGCTGGAAGAGAGGGGGAAAACTGTTAAAAATAAAGAACTAATGGTAAAAGCATAAGGGCTGGCAGGAGAAGTCAGAAGCAGGTTGGGACCTTCAAAATACTTTTACCAGGCTTTGCAAAATTGGCTCGATTTTTATTATTATTATTTAAAAACACACCCTTTGACACATGAATTGACCTTCACAAAAAAACCCAAGCGTGTGCTTCTAGCTCTCCTCTCAAACACCGTACCCTGGCAAGGCTTTGCAAATCTTTATTTGTAACTTAATCCTTTCTTCCACTCTCCTGGAAGATTGCAGCGAAGGCTTCTGTGTTTGGAACGGGCTTTGTTTAAACCCCCGGGTATTTTTGGTCTGAATCCTGAACTATTTGGGGGCTTTTGGCTGGGAGGTTACCTTGGATGCTGCATCTGACCAAGATGGCCCACCCAAAAACCCTTCCCGTCCTTTCACCAGGTTCAGCAGCGTGTTCCCCAGCCTGAACATGGCAGTGAAGAGACGGGAGCAAACGCTGCAGGACTACAAGCGCCTGCAGTCCAAGGTGGAGAAATACGAGGAGAAGGAGAGGACCGGCCCCGTCCTCGCCAAGCTGCACCAGGTACCGAGGTGCTCACGGACCCAAATCCCAAGCAGGGTCGGTGGGAAAGCCCCAGGGTTGTGTCCCAGGGGCTGGGGAAGAGCTGGGAAGAGCTTTTCTCTTGGCGTTTGACATCCATGCCGAGCCCCCCTGAAATACAACATTTGGGAAGGATGCCTTTTATCGATGTGAAATCGCCACGTAGGGCGCTTGATAAGAAAAATGCGAATTTACAGCGCTCAGCGAAGGGGAAGAGCCAGTTTTTCCAAAATAAAATGGAATAAAAGCCACGGGAGCTGGGGATGCTCGGAGGAGCAGCCAGCGCAGAAGTCGACGCACGGGGGGTTTCTCCTGACCTCCGCGCCTGAGCCAGCAGCTGGATGTGAAAAGGGGAAGATCAGAGCGTTTTGAGGCTTTATGTTTGCCACCTGTTACAAAAATTCGTCTTGGAAAATTGCAGTAATTGGTTAACAGGAAGCTTTGCCAGATTCCTTTCTCTCTCCCAAATTTTAGCAAAATCATGATTTTTTTTTTTTTAAATTAAATATTCACCAGCATTTCTCCCCAAATCTGTCACTCCTGCAGAACGTTGCTTGATCCTCGAAGGAACAGTTGACTTTCTTGGCGCCAAAGAACATGTATTTTCTGATGACTTTCCCCACAAAAATTAAGTTTTGTGTTAAAGAATAGCCCTATCAGCCTTAACAAAAGAGAACTCCGATTTAATAGTAAGCAGCTTACTTCGCTTAGCCTCGGTGACTAAAGCTGTGGCTGGAAAAATGTGAATGCTTTTGTCCTGGTGATTAGGCAGGTTTTAGTTACTTAATTTTTTTCCCTTAATGAACTTCTGTGTGATCTAATTCCCCCCCCCAAAAGATCTTAACTAACCACTGCGTGAGCTTAAACGCCTGCAGGAGCCTTAAGCAATCCTGAGCCTGGGGCATCCGAGAGGTCCACAGATTTGATGGGAAAGAGCATAATCTCATCCAGGTATTTTTATTGAGCTGCAAATTTGCATCCTCCCTTCCGAGCTGTTTGCTCAAAGTCTTCTGCCCCACATGAACTCCACCCTGGGAGTTTAAATGCTCCTTGTTTCGTGGCAGACGATGAATTTGCTCATTTGCCTCTCAGACCTACTTAAGCCTGATATGATTTAAGGCTTTGTCCGTGCCATCCCTCCGGCGTGCTGTCCAGGGGAGTGGGATCGGCGCCGCGGCTGGGCTCGGCTCGCCGGCTTTCTCCCGCATCCCCCTCCCGTCGGAATGGCACCGGGATTAAGTGGCAGACTTGAACCGGTCTAATATTTCACAGCCCACCCCCTCCTGCCCTTTTCCACACCATCTCAGAGACATTTCCCTTTCTCCCCACGCTTCTGTTTAAAGAAGCCAGTTGGACGCGCTGAGCTGAAGGTCACGGGCGAAAATGGCGGTGGGGGCAGGATCCTCTGGCGATGCTCTTGGGAATTGCAGGGTGTGGGGACACAGACGTGGCCGGGGATGTTCTCCAGCCTGGCTGAGCTTTGGGTCTGGTTTTTGTCCCCGTTCTTCTGAAGGGGAGAAGACTGGCTGGCTCGTGATCTCTGCAGCAGCCTCTCTAGGTGTTCCATGGCTTTCCAGGGTCAGAGCTTGGGTCCCACCAGGCTCCATTAGCTGGTCACTTGGGTCCCACCAGGCTCCATTGGATGGTTGCACGGGTCCCACCAGGCTCCATTGGATGGTCGCATGGGTCCCACCAGGCTCCATTAGCTGGTCACATAGGTCCCACCAGGCTCCGTTAGCTGGTCACTTGGGTCCCACCAGGCTCCATTGGATGGTCGCATGGGTCCCACCAGGCTCCGTTAGCCGGTCGCTGGTTGTCCTCGGGTCAAAGCAGAGCAGTCTTCTGGCCTGGGGTGGCCTCTGTGCAGGTCTGCCCAAGGGAAGGGCATTTTCTGACTCCCCATCCTCTCTCCTTTCGCAGGCCCGTGAAGAGCTGAGGCCGGTGAAGGAGGACTTTGAAGCCAAAAACAAGCAGCTCCTGGAGGAAATGCCCAAGTTTTATAGCAGCCGCATCGATTACTTCAAACCCAGCTTTGAGTCGCTGGTCCGGGCGCAGGTGAGATGCTGTCCCTTGTCTGCCAGGCGCTGCCAGGTGTCCCTTTGGTGGGCATCCTCACCGCAGAGCATCTGGGGTCCCACCTGGGTGTGAATTGCTCTTAGGGCAAGGCACCTGCTTGAGCTGAGCATTACACACAGGTAACACGCAGCAAATCTCATTACTTCAAACCCAGCTTTGAGTCGCTGGTCCGGGCGCAGGTGAGATGCTGTCCCTTGTCTGCCAGGCGCTGCCAGGTGTCCCTTTGGTGGGCATCCTCACCGCAGAGCATCTGGGGTCCCACCTGGGTGTGAATTGCTCTTAGGGCAAGGCACCTGCTTGAGCTGAGCATTACACACAGGTAACACGCAGCAAATCTCTGCCCAAATGCGAGCTGAGCGTTACACACAGGTAACACGCAGCAAATCTCTGCCCAAATGCTGTTACCTCCAGCAACTTAATTACCAAGCGGTGAGAGGGGACGGGGAGCAGTGGTGGGGCAGATGGGACACTGCCCGTGTTGGACGGGCACCAACACGGTCTGTTGGACCTTGTCCTGGCAGAAGAGGAGGTTGGCATCTGCCGGTACCTGTGGTGATGCGGTGCTGGCTGTCGGGTAGAAGGGACAGCCGGAGGTGAGTTTTCGCTGTTTTATATGGATCTGCCTCGTATCGGGGACACTCCTGGTACATATATGATGTCCTGTCCCACGAGATTGCCTGCGTGATGCAGTTCAAGCCCTGGTTATACATTAGCCGCTGGTATTTGATGGCTTTATTCATCGTCAGGGTACGTCGTCTCTTCGCGTTTGTGGTTCTGAGCTCAGGGTTGGATCTTGTTTGAGATTATGAGATGCTCAGGGCTCATCTTAAGGATCTCTTCTGGCTCTTGGTAGCCAGAACCGGTGTGTGCTGGCAGAGATAGAGGAGGCTGCTGTGTAATCTCCACACCAAGGATTTGCAGGAAGGGGTGGCCTAAATAAACCACAGCCTGCTTTAATTTCCATCCGCCAGCTTCCTTCTGTGACTTGCTGCCGCTCCTCCTCCATCTTCCTTCTCCTCTCGCTCTTTTTTAAGGCTGGAGAGGAACATTATCGGGATCTAATCTAGCTTTGAACTTCTGGCATCCCGGGCGTACGTCGTGCCCTGGATCACGGGGTGGTCCAGCGCCAGGAGGTGGGCGAAACCACGTGCTGCTTCTTGTGTGGGCGTTTTCTTACGGTATTTTTTGGAAAGGAGCTGCTGCAGTGACACAGGTGCGGTGGGGTGGCTGCAAGGAGGTGCAAAGAGCACGTGTTTCATCTCACCTCTGACTTGGGGGGGGGGGGGGGGCTCCCCCCACGGCGCCCCGCAGAGGGCTGCAGGCTGATTCACCTACCAGATGGTGCCGATGCACCCTGCCGCCGCCTGGGTGGGTGCTGGGGATGCTGTTCTTGCTGTTCCCTTAGCAATCGGGCGCGCAGGGCTCCCTGTTCCAGCCATCGCAGCCGAAATAACCAGACTCCCTGGAGCCACCGCAAAGTCTCGCTGGCCCTTCCCCCTGCAAACCCTCTCCGGCCGCTCGCTGTGGGTGGGTCGTTTGGACGAGACCTTGAAACCCGAATGCCGCCCGCCCTGTCTGGGTGTTTGTGATCCGCTGGCAGTTTCCTTAGAGAGCGGCTTTGCCCCTCTGTCCTTGGCCATGATGTCCCTCGCTCCGCTCATGCTGGCTCCCAGCTGCCAGTTGGCCCCGGCCTGGGCGCGGCGGGGGCTGGGGCCGAGCGGGCGGCAGCACGGGGGGAGCGATGGGCTGGGGGCACGGGGAGATGCGAGCAGGGAGCGGCAGGGTGCTGTTGCCGGGGCTGTTTGCAAGACTCTCCTTTCGTACCCTCTTCTTCCTTGGGAATCCTCTATTTTGTTTCTTGGCTGTCTGCCCTGCCTCTCTTCAGGTGAGGATTTTTGCTAGGAAAGGCAAGCGAAATCTCGTTTTTAATACCGAAGAGGCAGCGTCATAACAAAGCTGATGCATCTTCCGTAGGCTAGACTAAAGCTGGTCCCAGATGGATGCTAAAGCATGTCACATCCCGCCCTCCCCGCCGACCTAGATGGGAGCTGCATCCCTCTTCCCCAGCGCTGGCTGCATCCTTCCACCCCCGGGGAGGGATGCACCGGCACGACGGCGTCTCCGCTGCCAGGAGGAGAGCTCGACGCTCCCCTAATGACTCGTTTGTGCCGAGGCTGGGCTCAGGCCGTGTCCCCCCTGGTTCAGGAGCTCTTGCCCGGGGGCTCTGCAGCATTTCCCCCATCGCAGGTGGCTGAAATAATAAAAAAGAAAAGGGAAGTGACTTGCCCAAGGTAACTTAATGAGTCAGTGGCGAGCCAGGAATAGCACCCGGGAGCCCTGACTCACTGCAGCGGCTGCTCACCTGCAGGGACCTGGGCAGGGGAGGGCAGCCGGGGGGCTGCTGCGGTGATGCCGGGAGCATCCCCATCCCCATCCCAACATCCCAGGTGTGAGCCGGCGATGGGAGATATGTGAACAGTGACGGGCTGTGCTGCCGCCCCCGGCCAGCCCCATTCATCCCGCTGCCGCTTCCCGGGTTATCTCTCCCTCCATGCCTCATTGAGCTTATTTAGCATCTCGGGGGTTTTGTGTTACTCAGTGGAATTTCTATTTTCAGCCTCTTCTGCGGGTACCTCTAGGAGCGATGGTTGGCTGATGGGGCTTGAGCGCGCATCCCTCAAGGCAAGGGGCAGACGGGGACTGGGAGGCTGAGGTCGGCTCTGCCCTTGGCCGCAGGCAGCCAGCGGCTGGCACCGGGCTGGGGCCCGTGACTCTGGGGTTGCTTGTTCCCGGGTCAAACCCACCATTCGAAGGTGGCCCCGGGTGCAAAAGCGTGTAATTTTCCCTTTTTTTTTGGCCCTGGAGAAAGCGGGGGGGGTTCAAGTGAGACAAGTGTGTGACAAGCGGCACCGGCTAGCGCGACGATGAGCTGGGAACGGACCAGCTGCCCTGCTGGGAACAAGCCGTGCCACGGCAAAGGGAAGGACCCTGCTTCAAACCAGCTCTACCAGCTCCAGAGCAGCAGCTTTATGGCTTTGACCCAACAAGACCCTCCCAAGACCTTCTCGCCGGGCGGCTGGGTTCCCATGGCACAGCTTGGCTGCGGGCCCCGGTGCCGGGTGTCTCCTGACGGCATGACATGCCCCGAGCTCGCAGGGGCTGTAACATTCAACACCAAATACTTCTGTCCACCCACGTGCCCGGGGCCAAGCCAACGGAGGCAAATATTTCCCTGGCTGGGGACTTTGAAGTGGCCACACGAAGATGAAAGGGGGAGAGTTTGAGCTCTGTGGCTGGTGCGAGCGCGTGAGCAAAGCTTCCTTCCCTCCTTGCACTTCATTTTCCAGCTAGAAAACATGATACTCCTCTGGGTTTTAATGAAACGGGGAAAAAGATGGGGCTTGCAAGGCAGGACTGTCTGTGGGGCAGCGCTGTGCGCTGGGGTCAGCTGCTGCAGTCCAGCCCTGGCAGCGACCCCGGGCTTTTGTTTTGTGTAGGGCTGACATAAACACAAACTGCTGCTGCCCGGCTGTGGCACTGCAAACGCGATCTATAGAAAATCAGGAGAACACGGTGTCCCAAAACAGAATTAGTTCAAGACAGGTGGACTCAGGGACGTTGGCTTGGTCTCAAAGGCGAGTTGGAGATGGGATTTGGTGGGATGGGGACGGAGCATATGGTATCCATAGCTGGAAAAGTACTGAGCTGCAGGCAGGCGCGGGTCTGCCGGCAGCAGGTACCGCAATGGCGACCGCAGGGTGAGCTGCTTGCGGTGCGGCGGAGTCCCCTGCTGCTGGGGCTGTCGATGCCCGTCGGTCTGGGCTGCATCCCCTTCCCCAGCACCCACCCCAGTGCAGGGACA